TGTGGACCAGCCCTTCTCGCTGGGCCAGCCTTATTTCCCATGTGGTGTACGACAGGGTGCGAGACCACAGGTGGATCTGTGACTCCCGGGCTGCAGAGCCAGGCTGACGGAGAGGAGATCAGAATCAGAACCCTTTGAGCCCAGGCCCATTCCCACAGCAGCAGGCTGGCCCTGCAGCCCTGGGCCGCACCTATGGCTGGAATCCCTGGATAGCTGCAGCCCCACCTCCACCCTCCCCGCGCTGTTAGGAGATGCCGCTTTCTTCCCTGGCCAGTCTGGGGACGTTGGCAAACGCAGAGACCGTGATCTTTTGTTCTGGGTTTCACTTCTGTTTGTAACCCAGGGAGGACCCCGCCCCAGCAGCGGCCGGGTGATGGAGTGGCTCGGCTGTGCCTTGCACCCTAATAAGGAGCTCTCCTGAGGCCCAGGCTGGCCAGGGGAGCCCTGCCCGGTGCAGGCGGTGGGGGCCCGGGGTGGGAGAGCCCAGCAGGTCGGTGCTGAGTCCAGGGTTTGGGCTTCGAGCCTTTTGTCTTCTTGTATGAGAACAAGAATGCACTCAAGGTGTATCTTAGAAAATAATTTATGACACAAATATCACAGAGCAAGACATATCTTGGAGGAGAAATAAACCAGAAAGAGCTCAAGGGGGCAAAAGCTGACAGCCTGGTGTGGGTGTGGGCGGATCTGGACAGGGCAGAAGGGCGGACAGGATAGAGCTCAGGGACGCCCCTCCCTGGGGTCCAGCCCGGACCTCACATGTCGCCTGGCTTTGGGGGAAGCATGGTCCCAGCTCCAAGTGGGGGAGATGGATGTGCGTCCCCGGGATGCCCAGATGCCAGCACCTCCGAGCTGTGGGGTGCTCTTGACTGCACACGGATCTGGGTTCCCGTGCTGACCGTGGCTGAAAATGGGGTGGGGAGGTAGGGCCAGGTGATTTCACTCATCATGCTTAGAGTAACAGGACAGAGCTGAGAGGCTAGGAGAGGCCACAGCCTGGGTTGCCATGGTAGCAGTCATGTGGCACGGTACCCCTGCTGGGGACATCCTGAAGACCACACTCAACTCCCACTTGCCCCCGAGGAGGCTTTGAGGGCCTGGGCTCCCCCAGGCTGCACCACGGGCTCCTAAAGGTGACCCGGGATGGCTCTGCAGGGACTGGCCACAGGACTGGGAGATGCTGGGGGCCATGCAGTTGGCAACACACCCTGGGGCTGCTGTGGCAAATGATCACGGCTGGGGCTCTGAGCAGCAGGGACTCCGTCTCTCTGGGTCTGGAGGTCAGACACCAAAGTCCAGAAAAGGTGGGCCCCTGGAGGCTCCGATCCCTGCCTGCCTCCCCTCCCCGTCTCGTAAGGCAGGAGGACAAGGGCTCGTCCTAATGCAAGTCTGTCTTGGAGGTCACTGTGGAGACGGCGTCCTCAGAGACCCTGTGTCCAGGGGAGTCACTGTCCGAGGCCCTCGGTGGATGGCAGTGCTGTGGGGCTGGTGTGAAGCTGACTGTCCACTTTGTCTCTTTCCTCCACCCCTTACATGGTCTCTCCCTGACCAGGGCCTCACTGGCCTCTGTGGTGTCTACTTGCATGACCCTGTCACTCTGGTCTCTATTGTGTCAGCCTTGTAGCTGTGCAGAAAGGAGTCGGGGGAGTAGAGTGGACAGCCGCATCCCAGATCCTGGCACTGAGCGGCTCTGGGTCCTGCTCCGAGGCTTGTCCTGATTGCATTTTCGCAGACCACGCTCTGTCAGCACAGGAGACCGAGTCCCTCCCTAGCAGGTCCAGATTCTGTATTTCCCGCCCCTGGGACAATCAGGGTCGGTCCTCACGTGGTGGATCTGCAGTGGACACCGGCTGCTCGTGGACTGCAGAGAGTGGGCCTGCAGAGTCCGTGGGGCTTGGCCAGCACGTGGTTGGCTGCTTGACCTTGGCAGGACCATTTTCTTGTTGTTTTGTTTATTTTTGAGACAGGATCCTGCTGTGCCCTCCAGGCTAGACTTGAACACGTGGGGATCCTCCTGACTCGGTCTCCTGAGGGCTGGGATTTCAGGTGTGTGCACCACACCAGCGCTGGTAGGAGCCGTGTGGACCGTGGGGGTCAGCTGGGCTGGTGTCAGCAGGGAGTCACAGCCATACACGTTTGCAGGACGTGCCTGGTCTTCCTTCACCCGTCGCCGTCTGGTCCTGGGTCTGCATCCTCCCAGTCCCCAGCGCAGGGCTGAGGCGCTGTGCAGGGCTGCCGGCTCGGCTGGCTCCGCATCCCCCGGTGACTAACGTCCCAGTGCCTCTCCCTTCCCCGAATGCTCGCTGGACTCCGTGGCCTGGCGGCCGTGAGGAGGACCCCTCGCTCCAGTGGCCTCCACCCACAGGACAGGGCCGGGCCGCTCGCCCTTCCAGGGTCTATTTCCTTCTCCTCGTTCTCCAGAAGCCCGATGACGACGGCTTGGCACGGCCTGGGGTTTGCTCAGCCTCTGTAATCTGCGTGTTTGTGTTTTGCCAAATCTGGGAAATCGCAGTCATCACTTCTTGGAATATTGTCTCGGCCTCATGGGATTCCCGTGACACGGACGTTAGAGCTTCTGTTGTCGTCCCCTGGGTCCCCGGGGTTCTGTTAATTGCGTGGTGCCTGTTGTTTGCTTCTTCGAATTCTTCTTCTTTCTGCTGCCCTTTCCTCTGATCCGTTTTGACTTGGTGCTATTCATTCAGCTTTTTATAGCTCTGCACTTTGCACACGTAAAATTTCCGTGTGATTCTCCGCGTATCCCGTGTTCCTTCCGTGAGTCGCTGCCTGTCGTGTGTCGTGAGTGTGTGTGGCTGGTGGTGGTCCTTGAAAAGTGCTTGTTGTCAGACCCGGGACGCCTCAGCTGCCTGACAGAAGCCACTCGAAGGGCAGGAGGTGTAGGACACAGCGCCTGACATGCATGACACAAGGGAGGCCAGGTTACCGGGGCTCCTCGTGCTGTGCCGAGGTTTCCGTCCGCCCTCGGTTGGTGCCAAGGCAGGCTGCGTGGCAAAGGGAACTGACGGGTGAGCTGCTCGCAGTGTGGAGAACGGGAAGGGGAGTGCTTCCAGGCCTCACCCGCAGTGTCCACTGCTGGCCAGCCCCACTCCCAGCAGCAGTCAGCCGTAAACCCCAGCCCAGCACCTCCCCAAGCCCAGCCTCTGAGCGCATGAGGCCCGGGGACGTTGCCGTTCTAAACATGTGTTTGCTCTGACAAGATTGTCAGCCGTGGCCAGCTGTGGCCAGGCGCCGTGGCAGTGATCTTGGGACAGCAGAGCCAGGAGCCCAGCTGTGGGCTGGCCCCACAAGCACAGTTCCTGGTGCCCGGAAGCCGTTGAGGGCTAGAGAGAGCAGAAGGGAGTGGAGAGGTGTGTCTCATGCCCCGACCTCCTTCCTCCCCAAAGTCCTAGCTCCATGAGTGGGTCTGTCATGCCGGGGGTGACTCTCCAGTGGGGCCAGAGCCTCCAATCAGGCACCTCCAGGACCCCTGGGGGTCCGAGTTCTTGGGAGAGGTGCCATGCCGGCTTCAGAGATGGGGTGGAATGGGGTCCCAGCCACCCCTCCTGTCACGGAGTGCTCCCCGAGCTGGCTGGTGTCCCTGTGAGCCTCCTCCTCCTAGATGTGCCCAGAGCCACCCGCCTCCTCCTCCTCACACAGACCTCGGCCCAGAGGCGCCCGTGACACCAGGACCATTGTCAGGGGCCTTGACCTCCCTGGGCCCCCTCCCCAGGGAATCAGGCTGGGAGGAGGGAGAGCAAGGTCACGTGGAGTCCAGCCTGGACCTTGGCTATTGCTGGAATCAGTGACACCCTGTCCCCTAATGGCCAACGACTCCCTGTTCCTGGGTAGAACAGAGCGACTGGCAGATGTAGGCCTGGCTTAGTAGCAGGGCACTTTCTGTCCTGCCTGAGTTGTTTGCTCCAGCCTGAAGTCTGTGGGGTCACAGGAAACCCCATGCCCATTTAACTCTTCGCCAGCCAGGTGGACAGGAGGCTGCAGAGACCTGAGACGCCCCATGTATCCCACGGTGACATGGGTGATGCTCCGTGGGGTCTCCTGGGTTTCTGCAGAGCCACGAGTTTAGGGAAAGCGTGGCCTCTGCTCCTGACGCTGTGGTCACCCCGTCTGGCTGGATGTCCCTTGGCGGTCAGAGATCCACTCTGCCCATTGGGGCACACGGTGTGGACTTGGGGCCCCACTCCTGCTAGCACAGTTACTAACTTGGCAGGGTCTCTGCCTGGGTACTGCATTGGGGTAGGGGGTGTGGCCTGCAGCTTCCGCCCAGTTGTGTAGCCTCCACGGTGCCGTGGACGGGAAGCAGGGGTGGATTCAAGGTCAGGGGCTGCAACTGTGCCCGTGGGGCTGGGCCACAGTCAGGTTCCCAGTGTCCTGGGGGCCACGGGCCGGGAGCAGCCTATGAGGGCCCGGCCGCCACTGCAGAGCCCCGAGCTGTGGGCCCCAGCAGGGACCAGGGACCCAGAACCTGGACACGGTGGTCTCATCCTCTGCTCCCTGCTCCTGCCTTCCTGGCTTCCCCCAGCTAATTAGTAAGTGGTGCCATGTGCCACCCACTCCAAGCCCAGGGCACACAGTTGGAAGCCGCCCATCCACCCTGCTGCATGCATTCTGGAGGAGAAGATGTGACCACACAAGTACACGCAGCTCCCTGAGACCCGGGTGGGAGACATGAGGGTCGAGGGCCTGCAGGGCAGAATTGTGGAATCAGAAAAACTGCTCCGAATGGTGGAGTGTGTGTGTGTGGGGGTGTGTGTCCCTGAGCCCGACCGGAGAAGCTGTGGGGTTTTCTTGGGGAGCCCAGCGGTGCAAGGCCCAGGAAGGGGCCTGTTTGTGGGCCGCTGTGCACAGAGGAGGGATAGCAAGAGGCAGGCCCGGGGCCTGGCCCTCTGCACATGCAGGGTCGCCCCATCGCAGCCGAGCTGCCCCATTTGGGGCCAGGCTCTGGCTTCCCCGTTGCATCACAAGGCATCTGTTTCCTTTTGTTTTAGACTCAGAAGCAGCACTCGGATGCCACCAATGCCAGCAACCGCGTCTTCCTGTACTGCGCATTCCTGGACTTCAGGTACTGTCGTGTGGGAGGTGCCAGGTGGGGTAGAGGGGCAGAGGGAGGGCGGGGGAGGGGACAGCGGGCACAGCGCTGGGGGCACAGGCATGCAGCCTGGGCCCAGTTGTGTACTATGTGGCCACACGGTCCAGTGTGCTGGAAACATGGAGACACGTCCCAGGGAGAGTGGTGCGGGGTGCTCTGCTCCAGACCCTGGGTGTGGCTTCCCGTCCCAAGGACCCAGCAGGACAGGGTTTCTCACAGTCCATGCTGACCTCTCGTCCTCCTTAGAGATGCAGGTGGAGGGTGCTTCTGCAGGGCAGGGTTCCGGTGTCCCCTGATGTCCCCCCTCAAAGGAGACTGTGGGAGGGGTGTGGGAGCTGGGAACAGAGGTGCTGCGCCAGATGCTGAATCAGGGTCTTAGCATCCAGAGTCACTCAGGACCTCAAACAAAACCTTAGCAACCTGGTCAGAAAACACACGGCAGCCTGGGCGGACATAGGTTGAAGCCAGAGATGCCGGGGCCAATGCTGCGTGGCGTCAAAGGTCACCAGGGAGCTGTGAGCCACTGCTCACGTGCCCACCACCGACCCCACTTCAGTGGAGATGCCATCACGAAAGGGACACAGGCTTGGTCCTGGCAGGACAGAGAGAAGGGGACCCCGCAGCCGTGGGTGGGACGTAAGTTGTAAGCACAGCCATTGTGGAATCAGAAAAATTAGCAACAGAGCTTCCCGTGGTCCATGGTCCGTGGTCCGTGGTCCGTGGTCTGCACCCTGCTTCTGGGCACAGGTCCCCAGGGAAGGAAATCCACGCCAGAGAGATAGTCTCACACCATGCATGTGTGCTGCATGGGTCACACGGTCACCAAGATGTGGACAGCGCAGGGCCTGGGCAGCGAGGAGCGGGCCTGGGCAGCGAGGAGCGGATCTGGGAAGTGGGGGCTGCTCACCAGTGGTCAGTACGGGACCCCACCTCCAGGCAGCAGCCTCCTGAGCCAGGCCCTGCGTCCCTCCTGCCCACTTTCTAACGATGGTTTCTCAGTGCAAATGGGTATTCAGAGAGCTCACTTCCTGCTGACCCTGTTAGCTGCAGGACCCTGCAGGGAGGCAGCCGGAGTGGGTGGACAGGCCCTTCCACTCGGGCTCCTGCCCGCCTCCAGCTCTCTCTGTTCCTGCGGCTGCCCTGCTCAGGGCAGAGTGCTATAGTGGTGGCCCTGGGCAGGTGGCCTTGGAGCCCGGCTTCTGGGTCAGCACGGCACGGCTGGCAGAACACACCCCCAGCCCGAGGGTAGCGCTGGGTGGCCACCATTGTCGTGGGAGCCCGGGCCAGGTCCTCTCCCTGTCCTCCAGCTGCCCACCAAAGGTCTTCTCCAGGTTGGAGGATCAGGAAAAAGCTGTGTATTTCACCAGGATAAACACCTCTTGGCCCTGTCTATGGTCCTTTCTGGATGTTGCTGAATTTAATTTGTTAGAATTATTGAGGACTTTGTGCCTGCGTTCATGAAGGAAACTGGCCCGTGGTTGGTTGGTTTGTAACATCTGTGGCTTTCGTAGGGAGGCAACGACACCTGCATGAAGGGTGCTCCTTGCAGCGCCTTTTGGGAGCGTTCGTGTGGAATTCCTATTATTTCTTCCGCGATATTTTAGTAGAGCGCACCACAACACAGACATATTGGCCCACTGTCCGCTGTCACATGCTTGTGATGACCGCGTCAATTTCCTTTATGGATCCAAGACTATTGAGATCGTTTTTTCACGTCTTAGCCGTGGGTGCATTTCACACGAGTTTGTCCGTTTTCAAAGTCCTTTAATTTACGAGCAGGTGCGGAGCCGGTGCCTCCATGCTATTGGCCTTTTTTGTGTCTACGGCTTGTGGCGATGTCTCTTTCATTTCTTATCTGGGATCTGTGATTTCTCTTCTCCTTAGTCACCCTCGCAGCCATTTATCATTTTGAAGGAAACAGCTTCTGGTGTTCTTGGTTTCCCTCTCTTGCATTTATTATGGATTTCATTGATTTATGTTTCATCTTGCATTTACTCCCAGAGGGAACTTATTCGCCACCTAAAGATTTAATTTCTCCTTCTTATAAAGTTTCTTAACAAGAAGGGTAAGCTAACTGATGTGAGGTCTTTATTATTTTGTAACCTCTAACGCTCATTCTTTTCCCAGAATCACTCATATGGCTGCATCCCACAAAGCTTGGCCTGTTACATTACAGTGATCGAATTTAGAATGTTTTAAATTTTCCTCCTGACTTCCTTTTCCACCTGTGTGTTTCTTTGAGATGCGTTAATTTCCAAAATAGCTGGCGACTTTCCACCGAGCTTCCTGCTATGGATTTCTAATTAACGTTTTATTATCTGAAAGCACACTTTCTGGAACTTCAATTCTTAAAAATGTGTTCAAGGTCATTGTACGACCCGGACTGTGTTTGGCCTTAGTGAATCTACCATGGACCTTGGAAAAAATGAGCCCTTGATGGAGAATTCTGCAGACGCCAGAGAAGTCGGCTGATGGATGGTTACGTTCTGGCGTTCTGGTCTCCTGTATCCTGCCAGCTTGCTCTATCCGTCATGTGCGGCCCTTGGTTTCTGAATTGATGGGTTCCACAAACCACGGATAGAAAATATTTGGGAAGGAAAATGACCTCCGCACTGAGCACACGCAGCTTCCTTCCCTGTTGTGAGGCCTCTGCGCAGTGTCGGGAGTGGTGCGTCCGCCCTGGGGAGCACCCAGGAGCCCGCTGGGGCTTAGGTGTGGGTGCTGCACCGCTGCCCGCCGGGGCTCGAGTGTCCGCGGCCTCCTGTGTGACCCGGGAGTGATGGACAGCACGTGTGCACGTGTGTGTGTGTGTGTGTGTGTGTGTGTGTGCGCGCGCGCGCGCGCCAGCTGCCTGTGCGTTTGGCTCTGTCTCCTCGAAGCTTTGGGAGCCTTCTCTGCCGTGTTCCATTCAGATGCAGGAGACGGGGTTTGCTTCTCATCCAGTCATCAGTTCTGCTTTCCGGCGGTGTTCCCACGACTGCTACTTAGTGTAACTCATGCTGTGGCTGGGTTAGAGCCTGCTGTTTCGCCAGGCGCCTCCTAAGTTAGCTCTGTGTCCACGTCTCCTGGCTTCATCTGGATTGTAAGGCGGACTTTACGGTGCTAATTTATCTCCACGATTCACTTCGGGCTTACAGCCCTTCTCCTTGGTTTCCTGGTGGCAGCCTCCCTGGTCCTAGCTGCTGCGGGCTCCCGACCTCTCCAATCTTGCTGGGCCGCTCTGGGCCACTCCGGGCCGAGTGATTTCTGTAGAACCAGGTGGGAGCTGTCCCCTGCTTCACTGGCTCCCTTAGCCCGAGGCTGCGCCCACAGGGAAGGCTCTGCACAACGTCATGGCGTCACTGGGAACATGGGACTTTCACAACTCCCGACGCCCCTTGGAAGGCTGTTCCTCACTTTGTGGCCGTGCCCACCTCAGTCACTGCCCGGTGATGCCCTGGGCAGCTGGGATTACAGTGCAGCATTCCTGGTTGGAGTGCCCACTCCTCTCCAGGTCCTGCGTGGTACCGGGTCCCGTGCCCACCTCCTGTCCCTTGTTCTGAAGTTGTCGGTGGGTGCTGGCTGCCGTGAGCTGCGGGCCCGAGGCTCTGGCCTTGCCCTGTGTTAAATGCCTCCTGCCTCCTTGCCCCGGGGGCTGCTCGTTTATCAGGAAGGCCACCCTGGAGGCTGCTGGCCACACAGGACTAGCCTGTCCATCCTCTGAAGTCCCACCCACTCATGGCCATATGCTTCCCTGGGGCAGAAATGCCAGCCTGTGTTCTTGGCCCCAAGATATGGGGAAGTGCAGGATGGGGTCCCCAGGCCACTGCACTGGACAGTGGTTCCTCCCTCCCTGAGACGTCTGTGTGGCATTCGGGTCACAGATGGCAGCACCGAGGTGCACTGGGGGCTCCAGCCATTCCGGTTTGCAAAGATCTCCCCAGGACCCTGCGCTGGGTAGCAGCTGATTTGTCTTTGCTGAGAACACAAAGCCATGACTTCTGCAGAGGAAGGCGCCCCAGGCTTTTTGTTCTAAACCAAGTGCAGCCGGGAAAATCATCTTGACCAATAAAATCGCCACCACTGCTGTGCGCATCAGAGCACATTCCTTGGGGGTCACTTTTGTCCTGGTTTATCCTTTAAGAAATCATGCAGCCAACATGGTTTAGAAACGGAAGCATTCTGGGACAAAGCCGAGGTCCCACTTGACCTGCAGCAGGGTCATCCTGGCCTCTGGCTTCTGGAGGTGGCCACGCTCGGGCATCCTGGTGGCTCAGATGTCAGTGGTGTTTGTGCCGGTGGCAGACATGTGATGCTGTTTCAACTCGTGTCCCTGTGTCTCTGCGGGGCAGTGTCTTGTCCTGCTGCATCCTGAGCAGGGACCCCAACCGACGAGCAGCATCTTAGGACATCTCATGCCAGTTTCCCACGGGGTGGACCTGTGGGTCAGCATAGTGTGTGTCTGGTGCCATTCATGACCCAGTGAAGGGGCCACATGGGTGCCTCTGGTCCAGGGCCCCCTCCTCAGGGACTCAGCAGTGCCCTGAGCCTCGGGCTGTGCTGTGCCGCTGACGGCCTCTGCTGTGTCCTCAGCTCTGGGAAAGGCGTGTGGTCCAGCCAGGGCTGTGCACTCAGGGACGGGAACCTGACCCACTCTACCTGCCGCTGCACGCACCTCACCAACTTCGCCATCCTTATGCAGGTGGTCCCGCTGGAGGTGAGTGAGCCCGGAACCCCGGGCAGGGGACACAGGGTGGGGCGGGGGTCTGGTGGCTGGCTCCTCATGCTCCCGGGCCCTCAGTCCTGGGCACTTGCAGAGCATACCTGAGACAGGGTGCCCAGTCCCTGCTCACATCCTGGGAAGTGCTGGACCCACTGTCCCCAGTGGAAGGGGACCTGGGGGACAGTGTGACCCCGAGACGGGGCTCATCAGCACGGGGAGGCAGACCTGGCTGGGGATGGGGAGTGCCCAGGGCCCGTGGTGTTCTGAGGACCTAGGGAGGGGCCTGGGGACAGGAGGGAGGAACCCGCTCGGGGAGTGCCCGTGGAGACTCGTGCCCGGGTACAAATCTGTCACTGCCTGAATGTGACGAAGCCGGATTTAGACAGTCTGTGGGTGTTGTCGTGGGAGCAGATCACATCTGTTCATTGCCAGAAAAGGTTGATTTGAAAAATGGTTTAAAATTATCCCTGCTAAAAATGAACATTCTCACGAAGGTTGAAGAAAGGAAGGCAGAATTCTCAAGCAGATCCCGATCCCGTGCGGGCATTAGGAATTCACGGAAGGGCCTGAGCGGCCTCCCTGCTCCACACCAAGCCTCGTCTTCCTTCTGGGGTTCCTGGCTCAGGTTCCGTCCGGGGAGCTCCTGTCCTCCCTCACCAATCCCTCTCTGAGCTCCCTTCTTCCTCCTGGGTCCCTGAAGAGGGGCGTCGCCTGGCCGGGGCCTCAGATAGGTGGAGCAAGGAACGGGTTTTGGGGCTGCTGTCCCAGGAGCCCCTCGAGGTGCCCGGCTTAGCTCGAGGCTCTGTGTGTGACGAGTTACATCGTGTCTCCTTTGGGACCGGAGGAAGCTGTGGCCTGGGTGGACGTTCCCCGTGGACCTGTCCTGGGTGGCGGGGGCCGCAGGGACTCATCCAGGCGTGGGTTTGCATGGAGTTCAGCAGGACAGCTGACGAGCATAATCAGCAGTCGGAAGAGGGTTTCCAGGCTGCCTCCGGGAGGGAGCGCTCTGCCCATGTCCCTGGAGCTCTAGGTCACCCAGCAAGTGCGGGCTCAGCCAGTGGGGTGACTCACACTCACGGGGAACTGGTGACCCTGGAGCTGGGGCTTCGGTCCTGTTTAAGCAGGGCCAGCAGGGGGCCCAACATGGTGGGCCCAGCGGGGTCCAGGGGAAGGGCCAGGTGCTCCTGCCAAGGTAGAAGAGGGATTTCCCGGAAGCCTGTGACAGGGGCTGGGTCAGGAGTGAGGGGGAGAGGCTGGGGTGTGGGGTGTCCCTGGGAGGCCCATGCGTGGCCCCAGGGAGCTTCAGCCCACTGCCTCAGACTGTGTCCCCACCAGGAAGGGGACCTGAGGGTGCTACTGGGCCACCCCTCCCCCAGCATGATGGGGCCACCCCTTCCTGGCATGGATCCCTCCGAACTCCATATGGTCCAGCATTGCCACCCCACCGGGCACCACACCTGCCCTGCGCCCTTTGGGGGGATGCTTTGGGATGCAGGAGTTCTTGTTGGGACAGTGGACCTGGGAAAGGGGCTCAGGAAACCACTTGCACCTGGAGGCCACCAGGCAGAGCACTTCAGAGGGATGGCTGGTGGGGCTGGGGCCGGCTGTAGCCAGCGGGCAACTGTGTCATGACCCTGTGTTCCTGCAGGGTTGGAACATTGGCCACAGGGTTCATACATTGGCCGCAGGGTTCCTGGACTGTAGCTCTCACCTGCAGGGTGGGCATCTGCTCCGGAATGGGGGCCTGCACTCTGGCCACACTGCATGCTGGGCAGCCCCCAAAACACTCCTGGGCCCTCAGCTTGCAGGAAGACCCACCAGGAAGGACCTGGACAGAGCCTCCGAGGGCCCCACCTTGCAGGACTCAGGGCAAACGCCCTTTGGGTCTCTCTGTGAAGTTTTTGTCTGGGACTCTGGTGGTGTCTGTGGTCTCTGACTCAATGCAAGCCAGGCTTTGCAGAATGTTTCTAAATCTGGCCAGGTCAGGAAGGGAAGGGCGTGGTAGAGCGGGCCACAGGACAGCGGCATATGTGCACACACACGTGTATCTGTGTGTGTGTGCTCCTGCAGGCAGCACCCAGCCCACTCCAGCCTTCGGAGTCCAGCCAGGTGTGGCCCGGTCTCTGGTGGCTCCAGGGCACACCTGGGTGAGGGTGCGATCTCGTGGGGGCAGGGTGTGGGCAGCCTGGCTCAGGTCTCCAGGGCTGTGGTGGATGTGTGGCCATCCTAAGGAGCAGGCTCCTCCCCAGGGGTCTGGTGAGTGTCCACTGAGGACCCCAGGGTGTCTGCGTGGACAACAGTGGGTAGCGTGAGATGCAGGCGGTGTGGGTGGTGAGGACACCGGTCCTCCAGGCCTGCTGTTGAGGAAGCCTGCAGCTCCCGGAGCCCAAGGTCGCACACGCCGACCTTGAGGACTGTTCCAAAGCGGTGGAGCCCTGTGCCCTCCGAGGATCCACTGCCGAGGACAGTGCTGCCGGAGGGAGGGAGACGGTTGCCTCAGCCTCTCGTGAGCTGACGCCCCTCCCCGGGGCCAGGGCCAGGGCAGGGCCCATGCTCAAGGTCACACGTAGATGCACAGAAGCCTGATGCCCAGACAGGGCACAGAGACTCCACCTCCCAGCCAGGCCAGGTGGACCGCTAGGGTGGGCACAGCTGGGCTGCCCCTGGCTGTTGGCCGGAGTCCGTCCTGAGCTGAAGGCAGGGGGAAGGCGGTGGAGGCGGGTGGATCAGGCAGGGCTGTGGTGACCGCACTCGTGGGCTGCAGCTGCAGCCTGGGTGCTGGGCCCCTGCTGGGGAGAGCTGCGGGCATGGGCTGGAGTGGGGCAGGAGGCTGGGCGCCTGGCGGGCATCTCACCGGGTCCTCTCCACGCCCACAGCTCCCGTATGGACACCAGGTGGCGCTGTCCTCCATCAGTTATGTGGGCTGCGCGCTGTCCGTGCTCTGCCTGGCCGCCACGCTGGTCACCTTCGCCGTGCTGTCGTGAGTCTCCCCCGCACCCCGACACCTCCTTCCAGATCCAGGGTGCAGGGGCCACACACTGCCAGTGGTGGGAAAGGCGGGGTGCTGTGAGTTGGGGCGCAGGGCCTCAGCAAAGGGTGGAAGGCCTGACCTGACTCCGCGTCTAGTGGGGCCGGATCAGGACACGCATCTGGCACTCATTGAGTCTGGGAACTCGACTGTGCCCGTGGGTGGAAGCCAGTCAACCACCGAGTCGCCTGGAGCAGGCACAGCCTGGTGGCAGTGACCGCGCCACGTGCAGGACAGAGGAGAGGAACCCCAGGAGGGCAGGTGCAGACCTTGAGGCTGGGGTGACTAAGAAACAGAAAACAAGCAGCTGCTGTGGCACACACACCCTGACCCCAGCACCGCAGGAGGCTGAGGCAGGAGGGTCCCCAACTCCAGGCCGACCCGGGGAACTTAGTGACTTAGCCAGAGTCTGTCTCAGAATAGAGGCCTAGGGTGCAGCTCTGTGGGGACCCCGGGTTAACCCCAGTCCTGAAGATTAAGAGAGGAAGCGGAGCAGAGCACAGTGACCAGACAGAGCAGAGCCTGGGCCACAGCAGGTGGGGTCAGACTGCGTGGGCTGTGGGCCTGCAGGGCTCTGGGGGCCACTGGTAGAGGCATGACAGAGGGGACAGCGGCCGGCCTCACCCGCTCCACCTGCAGCTCCGTCAGCACCATCAGGAACCAGCGCTACCACATCCACGCCAACCTGTCCTGCGCCGTCCTGGTGGCCCAGGTGCTCCTGCTGGGCAGCTTCCACGTGGAGCCGGGCACGGTGAGTGGCCACCCTGCGCCCAGGGCATTCCCAAGGGCACGGAGCACGAGGGGGAGCCCCGCCGCCCGGGCAGGAAATAAGGCCACGGACGGGGCCCAGGAGGGCTGGGAGGGGGCTGGCGCAGAGCCCACGGCACCCGGTCACTCCCCGCGTCCCTCCCGCCCAGGTGCCCTGCCAGGTGCTGGCCACCCTGCTCCACTACTTCTTCCTGAGCGCCTTCGCCTGGATGCTGGTGGAGGGGCTGCACCTGTACAGCATGGTCGTCAAGGTGTTCGGATCCGAGGGAAGCAAGCGCCTGTACTACTACGGCATAGGATGGGGTAGGTGGGCGCAGGGCAGGGGACAGGGCAGGGGCAAGCTGGACGGGGAGGACGGCGGGGGGACAGAGGAGAGCGCCACTGCTCTGCCAGAGGCCGAAGCCCCGCCTCACTTGGAAACACCCCCGCGTCCCTGGTTTGGTGATCTTTTAAAGAACGGCTTTCTGTTGTCTTGATTTTCCTGGGGCGTTTCGTTTGGCTTTGTCTTTTTGAACAAGGCTGGTCTTGAACCCACTTTGTAGCCCAGCTGGCCTTGAGCCCATGGTGACCCTCCTGCCTCAGCCTCCCGAGTGCTGGGATTACAGGCGTGCGCCACCAGCCCGGCTTGCCTGTCTTTCTGTCATCTGCTGTGTTGACTTCTGCTCTGGTCTTTGTTACTTCCTCCCTCTGTGCCCCTTTGCTGTGGTTCCTCTGCCTCATCTGCAGCAAGGACCCGGGCTCCTGGAGGCATCATCCTTACCTGGCTCAGGCAGGTGCGGCCTCCTGAGTCTGGTTTAGGACCTGTGTGCTTTGTTTGTGTGTCCTTGAGGTGTTTGACTTCTTGTCCGATTGCTTCTCCAGCCCGCTGGTTATTTATGCTCGTTGCCCGAGTCTCACAGACCGTGACTCTTGAGTTCTGAGGCCTTCCGCCCGCCTGTGGGTGATTTGCCCTAGTCGGGTCCTCTCCACGGTGCCGAGGCTGGTGCTGCGGCCCAGGAGAGCTCCGCCCTGGGAGACGCCTGTCTGCCCGGGAAGAGCCGCGCTGTGCTCTTGTTGGCTGGGTGGGCCTGGGGCTCCAGGCCTGTCGCTGTGCCAGCCGCTCTGTGCTCAGCTTGGCCTCCTGCTCTGCCTCCCTGAGGCCAGTGGATCTCTCACCCGCTGGGTGTCTGCTCCTCCCTCGGCCCGGGGTGGCTGGGCTGTTGTGTGCACAGAGCTACATGAACATACATCCTTCTGACCAACCGACCTACTGCAGGAGACGATGTCTCTGGGGGTCGTGGCTCCCTTTTGCCCCAAAGCCCTTGGCACCCCAGTGCTCTGTGGAGCGTCCCATGTCTGGATCCGGAAACCTCTCGCTGGCCTCCCATCCTCCTAGGGAGCCTGGGCCAGGGCACCCTTCCCACGTCCGGCTGAGTGGACACCTGAAGTTCTTGCTCTTGTTACAAAATGCTGGCCAGACAGCGACCTGTCTCGCCTGTGCTCAGAGTGGACTCGGTCCTTCGCCTGTCTGGCCGCCCCTCCAGAGGCCCTGATGTCAGCCTGTTGGACATGGTGCCTGGTGTTGGGGACACATTCACGCCCTCTCCCGTTCAGAGCTCGGTGTGAAGGGCAGGACCCGAGGCTTCCTTCTGCAGTGACCCAGAAGCCAAGGAATGAGATTCCTGTATTGTGGGGCCCTCGGGACGCAGCAGGGTCTCCTGCCTGGAGCCCTTTGAGGGCAGAGGGCAGAGGGCAGAGGGCGGGGGAAGGGGGCACAGGAGCCGTGACAGCCTTGTGCTTGCTGAGCAGCCACCCATGTGCGGTGTGCGGAGATTCAGGGGTACCACCTGGCCTTGGGTGGGGTGGGAAGATCGGGCATCTGTTTCTGGAGCCCCCTATGAGGGCTGGGCAGGGCTGTGAGCCCCCCACAACTCCCCCAAGCCCGGGGTAGCCCGAGCTGGTTCCTGCAGGACTTGGGCTAGAGTCTCCAGGAGATTTTAGGAACAGTTGTACAAGGGTTTGTGTTTCTGTTAGCACAGCTGTGCAGTGCTATCCCAGGAGCCGGCTCGGGAACCCAGCCTTCCTGTCTGCTCCGTGTCCCTCTCCCTGGTCTGGGGGCCCTGGGCTTCTGCCGCTCTGCACCCCTCTCCTGTGCCCCTCTGCACACTCCCCGGGGTTAATCCTTGCACTTGGTGTTAAGCCTGGAAGGCATCTCCAGCAGCTCCGGGGGACGGGATTTACCACTCCGGGACCACAGTCCCAGCTGCTCTCCTGCTCTGCCTCCCGGCCCTGTCCCGCCAACACCTCGCCCTGCATCTGGGACTGAGCCCCTGTGACTGGGGCACGGGGTGTTCCAGAGACTCATGTGTCGGGTCATGGCCCCCAGATCCAGGGGTGGCCCGAGCGTGGGGTGCAGGGCTCATGTGTCTGTGAGGAGCTGGCGGCTCCTTGGGGAATTAACGTCTTTGTTTAGACAGGACGGTCCAGTCCCCCGGCCCAGCCCAGTGGCCCAACTCCCTGCAGCTCCGGGGCATGTTCTCCCACCCCACCCCTGCCTCTGCCTCTGGCTGCAAGGCTCCCCTTCCATGCCTGTGGGCACAGCCCACACCAGGATGCAAGTCACCGCAGGCCAGCAGAGTGTGTGAGTGTGCATGGCGGCCTGGTCAGTGACCGTGTGGTCACCTGTCCCCATGCTCACACTGCTGTGTACCTGGTGCCCAGTGACATCATGCTGAACCCCGGGGAGTTCAGGCTTAGGACCAGAGGCTGGGGCAGCCGTGTGATTCTTGACTCTCTCCTTCCCCAGGCCTCCCCCTGGTCATCTGTGTGGTCTCCATCTCCTTCGCCATGGACAGCTATGGGACAAGTAACAAGTAAGTGGTGTCCCGGGGCCCACAGGGTGCCTGGCCAGGGTGCTGTCTGTCCATCCATCTGTCTGTCTTTTCGGGTCTGCTAAGAAAGGCCAGGCTGGGGAGCTGGACACTGCCCAGGTGTCACGGCACCTGGGAGCCGCTGGCTGGGGTGTCTTCATCTGTAGCTGCCCAGATCTGCACCCAACAGACAAGGCTGGACACACACGCAGAGCCTGCGAGGGCATTGCAGTCTGGGGTCGCTGGCTTGAGGGGGAGGGTGTGGGTCTGTGCCCCAGGCCTGCCTTAGACCCCTCACCCAAACCCAGCAGCACCCCAAACTTCAAGACGAGGGACTTTTGGGGAGATGATGGGGCCGAGGCAGCTCCCCGGCCCTCAGTTTCCCCACATGCAGTGCGGGTTACTGAGGGAGAATCACGTGATGGAACAGGACTTTGCTGTGTGGTAGGTGGGGCTGCTGCTCAGGGAGTGCAGTGGACACGGTACCCTGAGTACCACCTGGGACTGGCACCCCTCTGCTTCCCCCCACCCTGGCCAGACCCCAGGGGGCCACATGGGCCTGAGCACTTGGCATCCAGGACTCAGAGGTGCCCTGTGTTCTTCAGGGCTCTTGGCCATGCTCAGCTGCAGGCCGCTGGCTTTCCTGCTCAATCCTGGGGTGGCATGTGGAGGCTTGCGGGAGGAGCAAGTGGGGACTCAGGGCAGGGGCTAGGAACAGCCCTGGAAGGGGCCACGGCCAGGCAGGGACAGGTCATTGACCCTTCATTCTCCCCACAGCTGCTGGCTGTCGCTGGGCACAGGTGCCATCTGGGCTTTCGTGGGCCCCGCCCTGCTGGTCATTGTGGTAGGTGCTCGTGGACCATGGGGCTGGGCAGGGAGGGCGGGAGGGCCATATGGTCCATGGGCTCTTCTGGGAGAGGCTGGTGCCCCGGGGCCTTACATTAGTAGAGATGGAAATTACACCGAAGCGGCATCTGTGGCCCGGCAAAGCCTTAACTGGAGCCTGAGAGAGAAGACAGGAGGGGACGCAGCTCGGTGGCTGGCTGGGGTCCTACTGACAGAGCGTGGACCCTACTACGGGCCAGCTCTCGGGCAGTAACTGGGGCCGGGTCCCATTGTCGTTAGCCTGTCCTGGGGTCGCAGCTCTGGAGCCCACGGGGCCGGGGGACACTGTCTCTGCCCAAGGGGGTCTCAGTTGTGCAGGCTCCACGTGTCCTGGAATTCAGGCGACCACAGCCAAGGCTGCCGGCCTAGCTGGGTGTCCCTGTGACCCCTGGCTTGGGGCCGAGGTCTCCAGGCAGGAGGTCCTGCGTGCATGGGGCAGGTCCCGTCCTTCCAGCCCCAAGGGCTGCATGGCCCTCAGAGCTGGGGGAGACCTGGCCGGGTTTCTAGTCCTGAAGGACACAAAGGACACAAAGGCAAGGAACAGCCTTGCTCTGCCTGCAGGAAGCCATGGCTCCCCGCAGACATGGCTTCTGAGTCCCCCGCTGTCCCAGAAGGCAAGTCCAGCCACTGGCCAGGTGAGGGCAGGGTTCCACCTGTTCCAGCCCTAGGGTGGTCCTGGCAATGTCACCACTGTCTCATAGACACTGGTTGATGAACTTGCCTTGCTGTGGTTCTAGCAACATTCCTGGGCTGGAGTAGAATCCTTTCTGATGGGCCAGCTATCTGACCATCATGGACTGCTCATTAGCTCTAAGACTGGAGGAGAGGGGTGCTCTGATTGGCTATCTCTCACTGAGACTGGAGGAGAGGGCTGCTCTGATTGGCTAACTGTCACTGACTGGATAGGAGGGGTGTTCTGATTGGCCAGCTGTTACTAAGACCGGGGTAGAGGAGTGCCCTGAGTAGCTAACACTCACTTCAACTGGAGGATAGTGGTGCTGTGGTTGGCTAGCTCTGAGACTAGAGGAGAGAAGTGCTCTGATTGGCCAGCTTTGAATACAGTTCTCACCCTGGGGTAGAGTTCACTCTGCCCTGGGGTGTGGACAGGTGTGGGGGACACAGCTTCCTGAGACCTGGTGCTGTTCTTGGGCCGGGGAACCTGAGCTTGGCAGAGGCGTCCTGCTTCCACCCCACCCAGCACCTCAGAGGACCAGCGTACTGGTCCTCAGCCTCCTGCACACTCCAGTCCCAGGCATCATGGTCACCTGGAGTTCGGCAGATGGGACGTGCTCAGCCAGGGGGACCTTAGCCACGGGGTGATGGTATATTTTGAGTAGAGTCCCTGTGGCTCCTGGGAGGTGCCGGGGTGAGGCCCTTTCACAGGTGCAGGGGACTCAGGCTCGAGTGACACCACTGGAGATGCGTGGTCCTTCAGGGTCCTCAGTTGTGGCCTCCCCATGAGGTGTCACAGCCCAGTGCCCTGAGGACGCATCAGACTGCACACCAGATGAAGCCACTGGTGACTGTGGGGCATGAGCTCTCGGGGTGGCACCCCCATGCCCCTTATTCCAAGCCCACTGTGACCCCCCTCGCCCTCACCCCACCCTTCCCCAGCTGTGCATCTGAAGTCCTCTGAGTGTCCCCTTTGGTGGCACCAGGGCCATGGTTAATTAGGGGCGAGTTGCAAGCAGAGGCTGAAAGGCTGGGTTTGTTCTCCCATCATTGAAATTCTGCTCAGACCCCTCCTGCCGCTCGGGGGGACGTCTGGTGGCCGCCAGTGTCTTCACTGCTGTTTGGGGGGAGGCGGTCGTGTTGCCTGTTGAGTGACCCCGCATCCCCCGGGCTGCAGCCGCCAGAACACTGTCCAGTCAGTCTCTTAGCCCTGACCCCGGGGTGCCACCGAGCCGTCCCAGGAAGTGACTTTCAAGTTGTTTTTCTTTTGTTTTGGGACTGGTTACAATTGAATTTAATTAAGTAACTTGGCTTTTGAAATTTTAACATGCGTGATTCAAAAATTTAAAAGAAAAACTTAAGGATGTGTAAGAAGCACCGAGAAGCTACAGCCCCTAATCTCTGAACTCCGCCTCCGCCTCCCCGAGGAGGTGCCAGGTGCGGGCATCTCTCTGCACCCCGGCTTCTCTGTGGCTGTGGCCCTGCGACTTCACCCCGAGCGGGCATAGAGGCTCCGGCTTGGTGCCAGCCCTCCCTCACTCCCTCTGTGTCCATGACCTGGAGCACCACTGACCACTGGCCTCTGCCTGGCCATCCTGGGTTACTCCTCTTTCCTCGGACCCAATGAGGTTCCAGCTCTGGGCCGTTCGAGGTCTGGGACGCAAATCCCTAAGGCGCAGGGTCAGGGCTCACAGCACAGCAGAGTGAGGGGCTGGGGGCGCCTCCCCAGTGGAGAGTGAGGGGTCGGGAAGCCCAGGCACACAGTGACAGCCACACCTTTGAGTTGCCCACACGGGCACAGCGGGGACAGTGGAGTCCTCGCTGGGTAGAATGTGCTGGGTGCTGGGTGGAGGGGAGAGGGAGCTGCAGGCTCAGGGTGAGGCAGGGAGGCCCGGATCCACCAGCTGGGCTGGTGACGTGGATATGGGGGTGAACGACTGGGCGGGGCATCGTGGCCCTACTTGCACAGTGGACCTCGCCTGCCACAGGAGCACCTGGGATGTGGGGTTGGGCAGAACACTCCTGTGGAGGCCATTGACCTGGCGCCGGCTCCCCCCAGCTGTGTCCCTGGCCTCAGGACTTTCCCGGGTTAAGGAGGGACCCGGGACAGCGCGACCCTACAGCAGAGGACCCCAGCCCTGCCCTGTGTTCAGGACCCTGGAGAGTGGGAGGGGGCGGCTAGTGCTGAAGCCTTGCTGCAGAGACCCTGAGTGGCCCCAGGGAGCACAGACAGGTCCCAGCCCTTAGAGGGCGCAGGGCAGCAAGGAGCCCGAGATGCTACAGGCCCGGAGTGGGGGCACCGCTGGGGCGGGCAGTCTTCCCACGGACTGTTCCCCTTCCCCTCTGCTGTCACCAGTGGGTTGGAGGCAGTGAGGCCGTGTGTGTCGCCAGGCTCTGAGAGGCAGCAGTGCTCGATGAGCTCTGCCCTCGGCCTGTCTGACCCTTCCCAGTCCGGGCACAGAGCCAGGCTGGGGCTGAGCAGGGAAGCCCCGCACGGCGCCTGCTGCCCCCGGCCACCACACCACTGTCGCATCCCTCCTCCACACAGGTCAACATCGGCATCCTCATCGCGGTCACCAGGGTCATCTCCCAGATCAGCGCCGACAGCTACAAGATCCACGGGGACCCAAGTGCCTTCAAGTAGGTCACCTGCAGGTCAGAGAGGACTGAGGGTCAGCAGCCCTATGGCCTGGGCCAGCCCCGCCTCGCTGCCCTCTGGGAGACCTGAGCCCACTCAGCCCTGCAGCCCCCGTGCACAGCCAGGGTGGCAAGGGGACCTCCTCATGGAAAACCTGAGAGACGGCTCTTTGTGCCGTGGACCAGCCTGGCCCTGGACAGGAAGCCAGGGATGCGGAGACTGAGTCCACACAGCTTCCTGCCCTGGACTCCTGGTCGGTGTCCTGAGGGCCCAGCACGTAGCTATATGGTAGCTGTGTGGTGACACCATCTGCAAATGGTCCTCCTGCGGCAAGGACTGCATGAGCTCGGTCCTTCGGAGCCCCTGACCTCCTGTGGACAGCGACACTGGCTGGGCCTCGGGGTGGTGGAGCAGAATTTGCTGCAGGGCTGGGCCCAGTTGCACGGTCGCCCTGACCCTGGCACCTTGGGCTCCTTGCCTGGACTTCGGGCCTTTGCATAGGTGGAACGTGGATTCAAGAGTGGCCTCAGCTATAGTAGATCTTTCCTGATCTGAAAGCAAGAGCCATAAACAAGCCAGCGGGGATCGATGGGATAATTATCCCATAATGAATTCCAAACACTGTAAATTAACCTGGCAGGCGGCCGCGCCCTCCGGGGGCCTTAGAGCCTGCGCTGGGGAGGAAGGAAGCAGGCAGGTGGGGGCAGCCCTGTGACTCGGCCTTGTCCTGTCCACCGTGCGGCCTGCAGGGCCCTTCCCCTCCCCATCCCCGGCCCCTGGATGCCCAGGAGAGCTGCACACTGTCCCCCATGCATCTCAGGGCCGCCCTGGCTCTGGGGCTCCTGTGGTCTCTGTGACCATCACGGCACGGTCTGCGGCCTTCCCGGGACCTGCAGCTGTGACAGGGAGTGAGTAGCCAGCTGGACGGGGCCACGGGGAGGGGACATGCTGCCCCCTCCTCCAGCCCTGCTCGCTGCTGCAGAAGAGCAGCCCACCACACCCCTCCTGGTAGCTCCGCCCGGTGGATCCTCGGGTCCCTAGACAGGTGCTTTGGTCTCACTGTGTCGGGGTCCACACCTAAGGCCTCCGCTTCCCAAGATCTGCCGTGTGGGTGGCCGTGGTTTACAGGGGTCCCAGCTCCCTCTCCTCCTCCTCCTCCTGGATGTCTCCCTGGCTCACGTGGCCCAGGCCACCATCCTATTCTGGAGGCCTCTGCACCCGGCACTGCCCCTTCTGCAGGGAGACCCTGGCCGGCTCTGTTCCCTCGGAGCCTCACGCTGGTCCTCACTGCCCATCCTGCCCGCCCCAGTGTGGCCCTCACTGCGTCCCTTGCAGGCTGACCGTCAAGGCCGTGGCTGTGCTGCTGCCCATCCTGGGGACCTCGTGGGCCTTCGGCGTGCTGGCCGTCAACGACCAGGCCCTCGTCTTCCAGTACATGTTTGCTGTGCTCAACTCCCTGCAGGTGAGCCCTGCCCTCCGCACCTCCCTCGGCCCAGGGCCGGGCACAGAGGTGTCCACGGAGCCACACGGCAGCTCCCGGCAAGGACGGGCGACACCGGGCTCCAGGCCAGAAGTGAGCAGGCAGGAGAGGGTGGCAGGTGCAAAGGGACGGGTGCCCACGGCCAGAGCTTCCTGCAGGGAGGGAGCTGCAGGGTCCTCTGCACAGCCAGCTGCCCCGCTGCCCTGCCCCTCCCTGTGCAGGTCCCCTCAGCACTTAGCACACCTGCCCCTGGCTGCTGCGCTGTGGCCAGCCCTGTCCACGGGACCCGGTAGCCTTCAGCTGCCTGGTCTCCATCAGGATGGTGATGACCTGCTCCTCCTGTGTGTGCAGTCACGGTCATTGTTAGCCTCGCTCTGTCTGTGGGTGGAGCCCAAGGCCATCGGAGACCTGTGCCACGTCCAATCCCAGGGTCCCAGCAGGAAGCTGTCATGGCAGCAGCCTGCATCGGAGTTAAATGACAGGGCGGGCCTGGGACGCTGTCCATCTGCATGGCCTCCTGACTTAGGAGCCAGGGTCACAGGGTCCTCACAGCGAGGTCCCCACACCACTCTTGGCCAGGAGAGGGCATCACAGGGTCCCTAAGATGAAGTCCCCATGCTGCTCTTGGGCTGCGGCTCTCAAGTCAGTGACCACAGGCCCTTGGCTAATGCCACTTCTCGCCTCCGCAGGGCGGCTTCATCTTCCTCTTCCACTGTCTCCTCAACTCCGAGGTATGCGCACTGCTGGGCGCCCTGCGGTGGGGTGGGGGTGCAGCCTGGCTGCCCGAGCCCTGGGGAGTTTGAGGAGGAGCCAGGCCATGTCCCCGCCTTGCTGTGGGCTCCTGGCCTCCCCTCAGCACAGGCTCCCGTGCTGGCCGCCCTGGCCCTGCCAGCCTCGCCGTGGCTGTTGACAGGTGTTTCCTGTGTTCACCAAGGTGCGAGCTGCCTTCAAGCACAAGACCAAGGTCTGGTCCCTCACCAGCAGCTCGGCCCGCAACGCCAGTGGGAAGCCCTTCAGCTCGGACATGGTGAGTGCAGCTGTGCCTGTTGGGACTGGCTTCTGCCCCCCAGTCCCGCCAGCCTGCCTCACCCAGGGCCCTGGTGTTCCAGCGGCCTGCTCACGGCGGAGCCCAGCATCCGTCCTTCCCAGAACCTGTCCACTGCCTTGGCTCCCGCAGGGCCCCGCAGCCCGGAGCAGAGCTGGCTGTCCTCTCCTGCCACTGGGTCCTCACTCAGTGATCCCCCGGAAAGGCCCAAACTCACACATGTGCGGGCGGACAGACACGTACCCGGGGTCCACTGTGCCCAGGCAGAACCTCAGCACAGGGAGCAGGAGGTTCTGCCCGCTGGTGCCGCGGCCTGGCTGTGGGGCTGCATCCCCCCATCTCTGGAAGTCACCTCCAGGCCCCGCACTCTCTCTCTGACTTTGCAGATGAACGGGACCAGGCCGGGCACGGCCTCCACCAGGCCTAGCCCCTGGGACAGGAGCAGCCACTCCGCCCAGCGTGTGGATCTGTCCGCAGTGTGAGGGCATGGCTCTGTGGAGCCCAGAGGAGGTCCACACTCACGCAGCATGGGACACATGACTGTCCTGCCCGCTGTCATGGGATTCTGGCTCCCCTGAGGCCACAAGTGACATGCAGGATGCCGTGGCCAGCAACAACATGGCCCTCCCGCGCCCTGGGTGTGCTGGGCACCACGATCCCGAGCACATGGTACCCTTCACATCCACGGGCAGAGCACAGGACCCACGCGGCTGAGGCCAGCAAGGGTCCCAGCCGTATGAGCAGCCCTGGCCTCTGTCCATGCTGGGTGCCGGGCCAGAGTCTGTGGCGTCCAGGATAGGACGCTGGCCCAGTCCTCTCCTTGGGAGGACCACTGCCAGTGGCCTGTGCTTTGGGCCGTCGTTGGCACCGTGGACAGTAGTACTGCGGCCCTGCTGTCCTGAGCACACTGCCTCTCTGGACCAGGTCGGCCTAGGTCCCGTCTCAGCACCAGCTAGCCCCGTCCTGGCCACCCCAGCTCATGCCTCCTGCGTGTTTTCCTGAGCCAGACTGCCGGCCGCCTGGCCTGCTGCCCCCAGAACTGTGTCCCTGTCTCCAGCGGGGAAAGGCTGGTCACCTGCCTCCTTCATGGACACCAGAGTCCGGGCTCTCCAGGGGAGGAGGGGGTGGCGCTGTCCTCTGTGTCAGACCCAGACTTCACCCTGGGGAGGACGGAGGGCGAGGTCAGGCCCAGGCCCCGATGCAGAGAGGCTGACAGCACTGGTGGCCGTGGCTGGAGCCGGGTGGGCCACTTCGAGGACGGTCCCGCCTGCATCTGTACTGGAAACCCCACATTACACTGTGACAACAACTTCACTGCACTCGTCTCACCACGCCTGCTTCACTCCTGAGTGGATTTTCACAGCTCTGGGGACACTACCCCGGGCATCTGGTAGTGTTTTTAAAACTTAGTGACTTTCTGATGACGGATGATGGCGTACAGACACCCGCCCCGACCTGCCCGGGCCCCCGGAGGCTTCAGTCCAGTGGTGGCCCTGACCTCCGAGGGCGGCCAGCTCTCTGTGGGTGGGGTCAGTGGTGGCATCTGCAGGATCAGCTTCTGGCCCTCTGCTCACTGTGTGACTGAACCTTCGCCTGCCCCACCACAGGGTGGCCCTGTGACCCAGGCCATGGCCACTGGGGGAGCCCGCGCCCGGGCAGAGCCCACTCTCAGCAGTCGCCCTCAGGCCTCCCGTGGTTCCTGGGTGGACCCGGGTCCCTGGGTCGTCCCTCAAGGCCCCGAGCACCAGGGACATCGCCGGGGACACTGGGCCCTCCACACGCCGCCCTGTGCAGCCCGTGCGTCACCCAGCAACTGGATCCCTGTCCAAGCCTTTCCTTTCCGAGAAGGCGCCAAGCACTTTATTTATAGCTGTAAATTGTGGCTTTTGCGGTAGTTTGTTATCAGCACTAATTTGCCAAGAAATGAGAAATCGGAGAAAGGATGAGCTTAAAGTGGTTTATGGCTCGGGAAAGGTGATGAACGCGCTCAGTGGGGAAAACATGTTGTGATTTTATGAAATAAAAACTCAGTGCTGTGAAATAAAACGTGTCTCCACACCCTGCCGAAGCCGTGGGCCGGCGGCGTCCCTCACAGAGGCCCGCACGGCCCTTGCTGCAAAGCAGACTGCTTAGCTCTGCCCCCCGAGTGGAAGCCCTGGACCGCAGGGCAAGCAGCAGGCTCAGGAGGGAGCGGGGAGACATGTAGGTCCCCAGGCCACGGCCTCCCAGGCTGGTCACTGCACGGCCACTGCTGTTGGTCACGCAGGGTCCTCCCGAGACAGGCAAACCCCCAAGTCCAGCACCTGGACCCGTGTCCAGCCTCATCTGCATCGTGGCTTTGACCACTCCGGGGTCAGGACGCCGCCACACTTCCTGTGAGACCTGGGGTGGTCAGAGGTGCCCCGTCCTGGTGGAGGTCAGGACCCCTGTCCCTTGTCCCCAGTGGCCCCAGGATCCTAGAGGCCCAGTGCTTGCGCCCCGCAGGGGGCTCCTCTCTTCCTCTCCTGGCTCCTCCCGTAAACCTGCTGCGGCTGCTCTGTCTGAGCCCCGCTCAGTTCTCTGCCCGAGATGCTGAGAGCCAGTGGTGACGCTCCACAGGCTGACCGGCTCCCAGCCTCGCACAAGGCAGGAGCCCGCTCGTCCTCCTCGGCTCCCTCACCGCTCGGGACTGAGCCGACCTGGGCCCTCCGGCCCCGCACACCTCCAGGTGACTCTCTTTCTGTGCTGCTGTCGTACGTCAGTGTTAGGTGCTCACAGCGCGTGACACATTCCCTCCTGTGTGGACGCGCTCGTGGCGTGTAGTACGCTTGATTCACATTCGTGTGTGCTGTGTGTGTCCTGGGATGTCTTCCCTCGTGTGGGTGTTGATGTCTTTGTACTGGGATTCTTTACTCAGATTGAATGTTTTCCAGGATAAAATCTCAGGTTGTAAATACTTCCCTGAGTCTTGAAGCCCTTCACCAAGTTGTGGCTCAGAGTGGCTGCTGGGCCCGCTCCGTCTGCCGTGGGACTCTGTCCTCGTGGCACCGGCTTCCGCCTGGGCAGCTGCTGCCCAGCAAGTGGGCACAGGCTCCCCACATCCTCTGCTCTTCCACTTTCGCCCCAGGATGTAGCAGGGGAGGGCGGTTGTTCTGGGTGACTTCTTAGCTGGCACAGTGGGTGTCAGGCCTGGGGGCTCCACTGCTGTCCACTGTCACCTGTGACCACAGAGGAGGGGCTGGGTGTGGCCTGCTCCTCCCTCTGCCCTGGGCTGTGCAGGCCCGGCCTGACCGGTTCCCGGCCCGACCTGGACATCTGGAGGCGGGGTCCTTGAGGGCTGCTGTGAGGACGCCCTTGGGGCTCAGTGTGACCGACACGCGCTGCCCTCGGCAGACACCGCTGTCTGTTCTCAGCCTCCGTGGTCTGCGTGCTGTGCTGTAGCCGTTGGCATCTGCCCTTTGCTCCTGGGTCGTGTTTTTCCTTCTCCATTGCTTCTCCAACACCTCTGATGCCTGGGCCTCCGTCTGTGCAGCCGTGCGCCCGAGGCTGCCTCGATTCCCCTCGGCCTGGGCAGTGCCGGCAGGGTGGGCTGGTCAGTGTTCTACACCTTCCCACGGCGGGCTCGCTTCTGCTCTGAAGGATGCTTTCCATGTTGCCCTTTCTCTGAAGCTGTCCTGTCCTCGCACCCACCCTCCCTTAGTGGTGCTCACTTTTAATAGTTTGTCCCCTTGAAGCCGGGCATGGTGGCTCACGCCTGTGATCCCAGCACTCAGGAGGCTGAGACATGAGGATTGCTGCAAATTCGAGACCAGCCTGGGCTACAAAGTGAGCTCAAGGCCAGCCTGAACTGTAGCAAGACCCCCCCCCCAAAAAAAAAGAACAACAAAAAAATAGTTTGTCCCCTGAGGTCCTGAGCCATTGCAGGGAACTCTCCAGAAGCCGATGCTTCGTCGGCTGCAGGGTGGAACCCGTGGCCGCCCAGCCCTGGACGTGAGCCATTGGGGTACAGATCCTTCTCCATCTTAAGTGATCGCTGCCCCTTAATATTTTCATGGGGTCGGCTCTCCAGCCCCCAATCTCAGCCATGCCGGGGGATTTAGCCTGCCGTGGCTGCCAACCCGGCACCCAGCACCCTCAGCCCGGCAGCCCTCCCTCAGGTGGCACAGGTGTCCCCAGTGAGGACTCCACACCGTGTGGGTCTCCTGCTTCCACAGGAAGCCTGGCGCGTTTCCTCTTCTTCTGTGTGCCTGTGTTTGAGAGTCTCTCGGTGCCGTTCCTTTTTACTATTTGTGACCTTACTTTGGGGAGCAGGACAGCCTCCCGGGCCTCTGGCAGCTAAGCGGTCACCGTCAGCCTTTCCAGCACCGTGGAAGGACCAAGGAGAAGCCCGGGAGGTGGACAGTGTGGCCGAGGTCCTGGCGGTGGCTGACCTGCCTTCCCTGCCTCTGCCTTGGCGCTGTGTGGACCGAGGAGCAGCATGGCTCTCTCCGCTGCATTTTCCAAATGCAGTTCAGCTGTCCCCTTAAAAGCACCGCTGGGGCGGTCACTGCGGCCTGACCTCCGTGCGTGCCAGCTGGTGAATCCAGAGCAGGAGGGAGCGGCGGAGGGTTCACCGCCTCTTCTACCAGCAGGTCAGGGCTGGTGTCTGCTCACCAGGCGGAGGCCACGTGTCCGTCCCGTCCCTTCAGGACACGCTGTCTTCAGGGAGACTTCCCGCCACCCACAGCCGGAGCCCGCGCCGTGGTCTCCAAGCCTCTTCCTTTTAAAAATAAACTTCTGTTTTCTGTTTTAAAACACTTTAGATGTACAGAAACATTGTGAGAGTGTCTCCATATAACCCACGTCGGTTTCCTCCGTGCACAATGTCACATTGGTCACAATGAATGTGCCCCTGGCCGAAGCCAGAGCCACCCCGTTCTTCCTTCTCCCCGCTGTCTGTGGGGGGTCTGCGGAGGTCACCGGGGCTCCCCCAGGGTGCTGTTCCCCGCTCCATGCTTTACCTCCGTCCCTGCAGACTCACGGGGTTTGTCCTGTGGGTCACTGGGCAGTGCCCCTTGTTAGGTCAACTCAGCACTGGCCATAGGGAGCTTTCTTAGTAGGCTCCCGTGGTCCTTCGGCATGTGGCTGTCTGTGCGTGTGTGCATGTGTGTGCGTGTGTGCAGCATGCATGTTCCAGGTTCTTCCTTTAGGACGCGTGTGTTTGCCACTATTTCCCCCGCTCTGAGTCGGCTTTTTACTTTCTCGACAGAGCCTTGCACAGAACTCACTTCTTTGAGGGGTCTACCGGTTCATCGTCTTGTCCTCCATCAGCTGTACCTTCGCTGTCATGGCTAAATCTTCCCAAAGATTTTTTTTCCACCACACAGTCGTTTTAGCTTGAACTTCAAGCTCGTGGTTGTCTTAGAGTTGAGTGGGGTTCAGTGAGGACACCCCGATGCAATGGCACCAGCCCGAGGTCTCCTGCTGAGCAGCCTTTGCCCTCTGCCTGGTACGGCTGGCTTCTCCCCCGGGCCCTGGTCCTTCCCCTCCTGTGCACGGGCATGATAGTGGCTTCGTCATGACGCCTGAGGCAGGAAGGAGAAGCCGCAGACTCCGTGCTGCTGGGCCTTCCGTCCTTCCGCACAGTCCCCGTCCAGGTCTGCGTGCATCTTGCGGGACATCTGCTGGGATTTTGATGAGCCCATCTGGCAGTCCCGAACTGTGGGTTTGCAGTGTAAACCTACGCGTGTGGGCTGTCTTACGGCCTCTGTGTAGCTCTTTAGAACTGGACTAAGTTCTTTAATGTTAGAATTCAGGCCGGTTGACCTAGACTCCAGTGTGTACTTTTAACGAGGTTTTAGCTTAGTGGTTGTATTGCCTCCTTTTCTCGTTGCTGAGACAAAATGCCCAGCACCCACAGCTAAAGGGCAGACAGTTTATTGAGCTCACGGCTTGTCGTGGTTTTAGCCCGTAGTGGGCCGGCTCCAGGGCAGGGCGGCACACGGCGGAGGGGGACAGGCCGTGGCGGGTCGAAGGCAGAGGTCAGCAAGGAGAAGCAGCAAGTGACCGCAGCGGCTGTCCTGCTGGCCCTCACGTTCTAGCCAAGCTGTGTGCCCTCAGGGCACCCAGGGGGGCTGCCCGGGGTCCACACTCACTCTTGATCTTGCATCATTCACCCTGGCTCCAGCCACCTCCAGAGTCCCACCGATGACCAAACCCACTTTGGGGGACGTCTGGACACAGCCACACGGTGATTGTCCCCAAGTTCCCCACCCAGACGCTGACCTAAACCCTCCCCTGAACATCCGGTGTGTCTCAGGCTCTGGGGACACCTGTGGCCCCTGCCTGGATCCTCCCCCTTGGCCCTTTCAAGTGCCCATCCAACGGACACTATGGTCCTCTTGTCCACCTCCAGTGGCCGCTCAGAACTGTGAGAAGCACAGACCCTGGTGGACGGTGCTTATTTCTATACATACACACGTGTGGGGAAAATTTTCAACCAGCCACAGCAAACGATTAGCAGTCACCACTATGAATAACCACAGTAACCACTATGAATAACCAAGCAGAACCACAGCGCCGTCACACAAGCCGCGTGGGCCGGGCGCTTCTCTCCAGGGGCATCGTACCGTCCTCCACTGACGGCTTTCCTTATGCTGCTGAGACAGGCGGGGCCTATAGAAGAGGGAAGAGAGTGGACAGCGTGGGCAGGGAGCGGCCACAGCTCCTGCCGAGGGTCGCCAGAGCGCAGGCACCGACGGGATCCTTCAGAACCAAGCTGTAAGCGTGCACAGCCCCCGTGGACGCTAGACAGGGTGGCCTGGGTGCCAGGCAGGAGACCGCAGGACCCTGTGCAGACCACCAGCACCTCTCAGAGGAGCATGGGGCTCGGCACCCACCCGCTGTTTACGTCTGGAACTTTCCACTGGCTATTTCTGGCTGTGGTTGGCCACGGGTGACAGAAACTGAAAACCACGGCTGAGGATACCATGACAGCAGAACACACTATCATGATAATTATAAACGTTACGGCTATTTTTAGGCCAGTCAAGAAGAAGGGATTTTATTTCAATGTTTATGTCTTCCCCAGCACTCCTTCCTTACGTCACCTGCATTTTTATCCTGACTGCTTCCCAGCCGGAGAAATGAACGTTTCTTGAAGGGAAGGTCTGCCGACTGTGAGCTTGTCTGAGAGTCTTTATTATCCTTCACCTTTAAAAAATAATTCTGCTGGAATTATATAAATATCACACCGGTGCATTCTGATTTCCCATATCTGAGCGTTTGCTCTGCTCTTCCTGCCTGCGTGGTGGATGAGAAGCCTACGGTAAATTTATTCTTGCCAGACTGCAGGGAAAGTGGGCTTTTCTTGACAATGAAAGATTTCTTTTGTTTGTACAAATGTAATGTGAAGTGTCTGCGTTGTCCTTATGTTTTTCTTTTCTTTCTTTCTTTTGCTCTTTTGTTTAATCCATCGGGCTTGGTGATCTCTGGCGTCCTGGGTCGGTAGCCGCCGTGGCTAACTGTGCACAGTTCTCGGCCGCTGCGTCCCCTTTCCCTGGACTCTCTCCTCTCTCTGACAAGGCAGTTCCATGGCTTGTTGCTCACAGCTCTGGGAGGGTCTGTTCTTTTTCCCATTGCTTTTTTTCTTTCTGCTTCCGAGGAAGTGTTTCTGTCCGCCCGTCCCCCAGCCCCCACCCTCCCTTCGGCTGTCTTTAGCCCTGCCACGTTCACTCCGTGGCTGCCAGAGGAGTTCCGGCCTCAGCATCTGATTTGGTTTGATTTGCTGACAGCCTTTATGGCTCTCTGCGTGCGTTGTCTGTTCCTCTGTGCGTCTTCGCTCTCCCCTGTGACTCGGCCTATTTGTCATCGTCACCGTGAGCTTCCTGTCTGATAAGTCCACCTGCGTGCACCTCGGAGCTTTCCGGAGCTGCCCGTGCTTGCTCCAGGTGTTAGTTCTGCATTGATCAGGTGCAGACGGGCTGAGCTCCAGGATGGCCGTAGCCGGAGGCCTCAGCTGCAGGCGCTGCAGCACGGTGTGGTTCTGCTCTGGTTTGCAGGGTTCCCGTGTCCCCCGCTTGTGTCTTGCTCCACAGGGTCTGCACGGGGCCTGTCTTGCTGCAGTGCAGCGGCAGCAGTGAGGAAGTGTCCAGCGGTCAACGGTGACTCCCTAGTCAGTGGCCCTACGATTCTCCCCGGTAGCGCACATCCCCCTGGCACACGGGGCCAGGAGGCAGCACGGCCCGTCCCAGGCTCACTGTGGCTTTGGGGACATTTGCAGCAGTCTGTGCAGGCAGATGAGCCTCGGCTCCCAGTTCTCCAGCTGCCAGCTCCCTCCAGGTACTCTGCCAAGGTGCATTTCACTACGTGGAGAAGCATTCATCTTCCTGGGCTGCCCTCGAGGACTCGGAGGGGACGGGGAGGAACTGACCAGCACACGGCTCCTGGCCGCAGAGCCCAGGCTGACCCTCCTGCCGTGCTCTGGAATTCGGCTTCGACTAGGGGAAGGGTGGTGATGGGCTGCAGAATCCTCACAGCGTGCAGGGTTAAGTGCTCACCCTGGCAAACCAGAGTCAGAAAGACAAATCACCCATCTCTTCCTCTTCCTGGAGCCTGAATTTTGAATCCCTCGCCTTGTGATGTTCTTGGTGCCTGGACTTCTTTTGACCCTAAGGTACAGTCCCACACCTGCCTCCTCGCTGAGAGAACCTTGGTGCCCTGGATGCCCAGGGAAGGCACCCCAGAGGGCATCTATACTGGCCTCTGTGTCCCATCCTCCTTTAAAGGCCTGGGGCACCTTAGCCCACAGGCCAGGAGGGCGGTCTGCTGGGATGCGCTGTCGTCGTGTGACAGAGAGCTGCCCCATGACAGCTCACCTCCAAGGGCAGCTCCCGCCGCCAGGGACACAGCAGCCTGGCGGGTGCAGCTGCCCTTGGAGTTGCCTGGTGGAAGAGAACCTCGTTTCCTCCCTCCCTGCCTCATGCTGTGCAGGGCTTCCTGTTGTGCACTTCAGGGGCAGCCAGACTGGAGGAGCTCAAGAAACATGTGTGGCAGGCACATGATGCCCTCATCCAGGTCCTGCAGGCTCCCAGGCGGGTTAGACACCAGACACAGCCAGGGAGCCACTATGACCTGCGCATCCCTCTCCTGGGGCACCCGAGTCCCTTCCCCTCTAAACCCCTGCACATCGTGAGCTTGTGGGGAACCTTAGGGCAGCCTCACTGGGGTGACCAGGGGTGGGGGCAAAGGACGCAATGCAATGCATCCCTGCTTTGTTCTTGAAAGCTGAATTCACTTTGATGTTTTCCGAGAGTTTCGGTTCTCTGTTCTGCAGGCAGCAGGGGGACAGGTGACACAGGGAGGGGGCAGAGGGGAGCCCAGTAGAGCCACAGTCATGGGATGCCCAGCCGCCAAGCCTGTCCTGTGTGGGCAGCAGTGGTCGGGGCCAGGCAGCGTGGAACCTCTGCTTCCCACGAGCTGAGTCCAGGACTGTGTCATACCCAGAGCCACCACTTCAGCCAGGTCCCAGGGCCGGAGCCTCAGGGCTGCATCCTGGCCCTTTCCAATGAAGAGGGGGGCAGAGGAGCACTCACCGTTTGCTCGTCGCCCCTGCAGTGTGGACAAGAAGCAGGCCAAGCTGCACCCCTGGTTGTGGCAGAGGTGACCTGAGCTGCTCACATCACACTCCCAGAAAGCAGGAACCACTCAGAAGTGTGACACCCCTACCCCTAACCCGAGCATCCGGTGTCTGTGCAGCCACGTGGGGGAGAGGGAGAGCCAGCGAGGGCTGGATCAGAGAGGCCCACGTCGCCTCACAGGCCAGGGTCCCAAGCACAGGCGGGAGGAAGGACCCGGTGCAAGGACACTTTCTGTAGTTTCCTTAGCAACAAGGACTTCCTGCACAAGTCCTCAGCTGTTAAGAAGGTTGCGGGCACTTGGGGTGCAGCTCAGGGCCAGTGCGCTTGCTTGGTGCACATGAGCCCCCGCTGCCACCCCTGCACTGCAAAGCACGCAAGTGGAAAGCAGAGGTGCGGGAGGCAGCGGGCACGGCAGCTGCACCGTGGGCCTCCGGGAGGCTCTGGGCACCCAGCCTCCCCACAGCTCAGCTGGAAACGAGGGCGGGCTGGCGGGCGTGCGGGCAGGAAGTCAGGCAGCCGGCAGCCCACGGTGGGCAGGGTTGCTCAGCGTCACACTCGCAGCACCCACGACAGCAGAAGAGCGGGCTTGCAGGGCCACCTCACGCATGGTCCCAGCCGCACTCTCTAAGGACAGTGCTTCCCCGGTCCAGTGCTGAGGGGAGGGCTTGGGCATACAGCCCCAGCACCAAGCCCCAGTCTTCGGGGCCTGTCGGTCACTGCTGCTTCTCCTCTGGTGTCAGGTCCAGCCTGGGAGGTCTGGAGTCCAGGGCTGGTGCGCTGGGCAAACTGCCCGTGATGGGGCTTGTGTGCTGTCGGCATGTGGCACCCAGTGCGTCCCACAAGTGCACTGCTGCGGCTCACGGCTCTGTCATCTCCCTTTGATCTGTGTGCTCCTGCTGTGCTCCCCATAAACATGTGTTTGCGGGGCCTCAGCCTCCTGTGTGTTCCTGGGGTCCCTTGCCCTGCTGTTTGGATGGTGAGCTGTAACGTGAGCCATGCATGTGTCACCTAGTGGGCACCTGTGTCACGATGTGTGTGTCCTCATGTGTGCCCCACCTGCTGCAGACACCTTGGGGTTCCACGTACCTCAGTCCACTAAGTGTGCACACGGGTGACTCTTGCGGGGCTCCAAGTCCCTTCCTCCAAGGGACACCACTTCATTCAGTGGCCAGTGGCTCTTGGGGGAAAGCGGGGTGCTAGGGTTCAGCTCACTGGTGTGTCTCGCTGGCCTGGGTGTGGTGACGCCCTGTGAACACAGGCCCTGGGGTGGTGGTGTCTCCCGCATAGAAGGAATCTCACCTCTGCGGGGCCTGGCCTTCTTGTGGACAGTCCCTCTGCTTCCTGACTCCAGCTGCTCCGTCTGGGGGGCTGGACACAGGGATGGCCGATGGAGCGCTGTGGTCCTGCCCTTGGTCCAGAGACAGAGCCATCTGCAGAGGTTAAGGCTGCCCTGTGATGAGCCGTCTCAGGATGATGGCCAGAAGCTCGGGGCACATCTTCTTCTGGGCCCGCACTTCCCCAAGGCACATGTGACATGTGCCCTCCTCTGGCAGATGGGGACACCGAAGCTCGGACAGGAAGCTGGGACGAGGCACAACCCAGTCTCTGGGCTCTGATCTGGCCCTGTATTCTGAGAGCTCCAACAGGGGAAGTGGAGGAAAACACCTCTAATATTCTCAAGTAAAAAGAAAAGGGAAGGCGGCTTGGCTCCTGGACCCAAGAATGCTACATAACAGGCCCCCCGCCAGGCACAGCCAGATCTTACAAGAAGCTTGCTTTTGTTTTTGTTTTTTGTCTCAAAACTCTGCCCGTAACTGGTCTGGCTTCATTATCAGGCTCCAAAAAGTAAGTCATCCTATTCCTTCGGACTCTGCCATCATAGTGACAAAATGGCAGATCATAGTTGTTCACTTCCTCCTAGGCCCAAAGGTCTCCCATCAGCCCTGGGGCGAGTTACAAAGCTCAGTCTGATTGGCTATATTGTGGACAAGTGGCCACCTCTGAACCAATCACTGCAGGCAGGGCATGGCTAGCGGAAAGGGTAAGACCTTTTCTATTGGCCACAGGACAAACTCTGTCATTCACTCTGATTGGACTGGTTGAGCCATGTGACCATCTCTACACCAACCATAATCTGACCGGTGCTCCAACTGGGGCCCAGGGTGCTCTGAGATGCATTATCTTAGGAGAAGGGAAGGGTGATGGCCACAGACCCTGGAGTTTGTCTCCAGGGGATGTGGCTTGGGGGCTGTGGCCAGAGGAGAGGACAGGACCTGGGCCCCTTCTCTTGTCCTCCGTGTAGCCCCCAGACTTCCTCAGGGTGGCCCCTGGTATGACACCTCCCCCAGGTGGAGTGGGGCTTTGAGTTTACTGGGCAGAAAATGCCAGGAGCTTGGGACGGGATCGAGGCTCTGAGCGGATTTACATTCCTATCCTGATCGCAAAGCGTGTGATACTGAAGCTGTCAAGTCATCCACCAGCGTGGGGATATCAGAGAGTTGCAGACTGCCGTGGCCCGGCAGAGTGAAACACTAGTCTGGGGATTTTCTGCTCCATTTGGGAACCAGAAATGCAGCCTAACGATGTTGAAATCTGTGAGATACCTGCAGGAAGTGGGGGCCTTGGGATGCTGAGCAGGGCCTGAGGGAGCACAGCAGCCCCAGCCCGGTAAGGGTCTATAGGTAACAGCTGCGGTCGCCCTGCAGCAGGAGGCTCGGCCCATCTCAGGGCAGCGGCTCCTGTGGGGAGCAGAGCCGGGAGGTCGGGGCTCCTGCCCAGGGTGGTGTGGTGGCTGAATAATGGCCCCAAAGGTCCAGGCCCCTGTGAATGTGTTACCATACCATGGAGATCAGGGCTGTGGACAGGAGATGGGGAGACGGTGGCCCCAGGACCCCAGGGCCCAGTGTATTCCCAGGAGCCCTTTGTGTGAATGACGTTCCTGGCTCACCGGAGGGACAGGAGGAGGACAGAGGTCACACGCTGCTGCTGCTGTAAGCCCTGGGTCCTCGAAGTTGGGGAGGCCCCACCAACAGCCCAGGGAGCAGGGCCTCTGTCCTGAGGGACCCCAGCTCCTCCCATAGTGGGGTGAGCACAGACACAGCTCCCCAGGTCTCCAGAGAGGAGAGCAGCCCAGAACACCTTGGCTTTGGCCCATGAGATCAGGGCCCAACTCAGACCACAGAATGCTGAGGAGGGACAGCTGCTGCCCGGGCCGTGAAGGTGGGGGTGATTTGGGGGTCAGCTGCAGGCATCTGACCCCTATGGCCGTGTCTAGAGGAAGAAGGTGCTGCCCCTGAGGCCAGGTGTGTGCAGGTGCTGGGCAGAGCTGACCTAGGGGTGGATGGGATCCGGGGAGGAGGCCCGAGGGCCTGTGGGTTGCTGAAGGCAGAGTGGACACCTGTGTCCTGAGCTGCCACCTCCAGCTGGGCGGTCAATGGGTGGTGCTCCTGTGCCCCGAGCAGATCGCCCCCAGCCACGGAGAGATGAGTGCTCTAATCCGTGCTTTACTTCCTGTTGAGGTTGTGGAGTCTGTGCTCTGTGGCCCCGACTAAAAACGGCGGCGTGGGGCCCCAGCTCAGGTTCTCAGGACAATACTGGCCCTACAGGACAAGGCCTCTCTGAGTGGCCCGTGGACCCGGCCCCACGCTCCCCACCTGGTGTCACTGTTACAGCTGTCCAGGTTCTGCCGATCCCTTATGTGTCAGAGCCTGGGACAGGGAGACATGACAAGGCCTGAAGCCCGGTCTGGAGGGACGTGGCTTGGAGTTAAATTTTGGAATCCAGATATTTGAAGCTTTCTCGCTGATGTGACCAAGCTTGACTGCGACCCATAGTGTCGGGCCCCACTCTGACATCTCCTGGGGTCCAGGAGGATTGGTCAGGGGACATCACAGCCCTTGGCAGGGGAAGACAGCCCTGCTCGCAGGAAGCATGGGGGTGACCGTAGGGGAGAGGGCGAGGGGTCTTACCCGGGAGAGGGGACGCGAGCCGCCGTGGGGGAGCTGATGGCTTCCTGGAGGGGTCTCCTCATGTCCTGGCCACTTGAAGGAGCTGAGGAAGGAGAGAGACCTGCTTTCAGCAATGAAGAGGACACCGCGGCTTCCCACCTGTGGGCTAAAGCCACTCAGTCTCTTTTTAAAACAATATGTAATATTTAAAGGGAAGTTTGTCACACACATGCTTGGGTATTAACTGTCTTATGCTTGTAACGTGTGGCCCCACACTCGGCACAGCCCAGGCCCACAGCAGATGAGGAACAAAACAAGATGGGGACAAACCGTAAGCCCGATAGACGGGCAGGCGGGGAGCCTGCACCAACACCGCAGGCCGCACCTTCCTCCTAAAAGCACCTTCGGGAAGATCTGCACTCAGCCCCAAACCAGCCTGCCCGGGGTTACAGATTACAGGGCGCAGTCCCTTGTCTGACCACCAGGGAATGAAGCTAGACACTTACAACGAGAAACTGCAATTTCAGAAATCCATGGAAATCGAGCCCTGCACTCATCACGGAAGATGAAATCACAAAGGAATCCTTTGAAACGATTGAGTAAAACCCCCAAAATACCAAAACTATGGAAGGCAGTGAAAACAGCTCCCCTAACCCTAATACACCAACTTTAAAAAGGAAGAAAAATCTCAAATCCATAATCTTAAGAAACTAGAAAAAGAAGAAGAAACCTAAAACTAGTTGAAAGAAAGAAAAAAATATTACTGCAAGACAAGAAAATAGAAAAGAAAAAGCAAGAGAATCAATGGAACAGAAAATCTATTCTTTTAAAATATTAAAAATTTATGAAATATGCAAGATAAGGAGATAAATAAAATGGGAATAGTGCAGGAAAGTGGAAGGTTTACTGCGTCCTGTGACTGAGATCTGAGAGCTCCCTGAAGGCTCGCGGGGTGAAGGCCTGGTCTCTGACGTGGTTAATTTTCTCTGGTTGCTGAACAGAATAGCTGTCTGAAAGGAGGAAGGACTGAGCTCACGGTTTGTGGAGGTTTCAGTCCACAGCCAGCTGGCTTGAAGGCAGGGCGGTGCACGGCACAGGAGCAAGGTTCATGGCAGCAGAAGACAGAAAACCCAGCAAGAGCACAGGGGAGGAGCAGAGGGAAGACTCCTCCTGCCCTGCTAGTGTATGCGGGCCACATCCACCGTAGGGCAGGGGCTCTACTCACAGTGACACTGACACTCCAGGACTCCACTAGGACACTTTCACAAACACTAGAAGGCTGCTTCCCTGGCTGCGTGAGGCTTGAGGGAACCTCCAGACTCAAGCCACAGCAGTCGAAAATACAGCCATATTCAGAGGACTGTGGAGAGTGACTGGTTCACGAGGCCTCAGGTATCAGCCACAGTTAACCTACTCCTGGGTTCATAATCACTTGATTCTGGGAGGCATCAAAACTGCAGAAAATAGGGCCTGAGGGAGGAGTGGATCCCTGGGGTGTGATTCGGGAGGAGAGGGTCCCTGGGGTGTGAGCCGGGAGGAGGGGGTCCCTGGCATGTGACCCAGAAGGAAGGGGTCCCTGGGGTGCAAGCCAGGAGGAGGGGGGGTCCCTGGACTGTGACCCAGGAGGAGTGGGTCCCTGGGGTATGACCCGGGAGCAGGGGTCCCTGAACTGTGACCCAGGAGAAGTGGGTCCCTGGGGTGTGAGCCGGGAGGAGGAAGTCCCTGGACTGTGACCCAGGAGGAGGGGGTCCCTGGGGTGTGAGCTGGGAGGAGGGGGTCCCTGAACTGTGACCCAGGAGGAGTGGGTTCCTGGGGTGTGAGCCGGGAGGAGGGGTTTCCTGGGGTTTGACCCGGGAGGAGGGGGTCCCTGGGGTGTGACCCGGGAGGAGGGGGTCCCTGGGGTGTGACCCGGGAGGAGGGGGTCCCTGGGGTGTGAGCCGGGAGGAGGGGGTCCCTGGGGTGTGACCCGGGAGGAGGGGGTCCCTGGGGTGTGAGCCAGGAGGAGGGGTTTCCTGGGGTGTGACCCGGGAGCAGGGGTTCCCTGGGGTGTGACCCGGGAGGAGGGGGTCCCTGGGGTGTGACCCGGGAGGAGGGGGTCCCTGGGGTGTGAGCCGGGAGGAGGGGTTTCCTGGGGTGTGACCCGGGAGCAGGGGTTCCCTGGGGTGTGAGCCGGGAGGAGGGGGTCCCTGGGGTGTGACCCGGGAGCAGGGGTTCTCTGGGGTGTGACCCGGGAGGAGGGGGTCCCTGGGGTGTGAGCCGGGAGGAGGGGTTTCCTGGGGTGTGATCCGGGAGGAGGGGGTCCCTGGGGTGTGAGCTGGGAGGAGGGGGTCCCTGAACTGTGACCCAGGACGAGTGGGTTCCTGGGGTGTGAGCCGGGAGGGGGGTTTCCTGGGGTTTGACCCGGGTGGAGGGGGTCCCTGGGGTGTGACCCGGGAGGAGGGGGTCCCTGGGGTGTGACCCGGGAGGAGGGGGTCCCTGGGGTGTGACCCGGGAGGAGGGGGTCCCTGGGGTGTGACCCGGGAGGAGGGGGTCCCTGGGGTGTGAGCTGGGAGGAGGGGTTTCCTGGGGTGTGACCCGGGAGCAGGGGTTCCCTGGGGTGTGAGCCGGGAGGAGGGGGTCCCTGGGGTGTGACCCGGGAGCAGGGGTTCTCTGGGGTGTGACCCGGGAG